GTTCCTCACACACCTCCACCTCAGCCAGGTCTGCCTCTTCCTCACACACCTCCACCCCAGCCAGGTCTGCCTGTTCCTCACACACCTCACACAGCCAGGTCTGCCTGTTCCTCACACACCTCACACAGCCAGGTCTGCCTGTTCCTCACACACCTCACACAGCCAGGTCTGCCTGTTCCTCACACACTTCCACCCACAGCCAGGTCTGCCTGTTCCTCACCCACCTCCACCCCAGCAAGGTCTGCCTGTTCCTCACAAACCTCCACCCCAGCCAGGTCTCCCTGTTCCTCACACACCTCACACAGCCAGGTCTGCCTGTTCCTCACACACTTCACACAGCCAGGTCTGCCTGTTCCTCACACACTTCACACAGCCAGGTCTGCCTGTTCCTCACACACCTCCACCCCAGCCACGTCTGCCTGTTCCTCACACACCTCCACCCCAGCCAGGTCTGCCTGTTCCTCACACACTTCACACAGCCAGGTCTGCCTGTTCCTCACACACCTCACACAGCCAGGTCTGCCTGTTCCTCACACACCTCACACAGCCAGGTCTGCCTGTTCCTCACACACCTCCACCCCAGCCAGGTCTGCCTGTTCCTCACACACCTCACACAGCCAGGTCTGCCTGTTCCTCACACACCTCACACAGCCAGGTCTGCCTGTTCCTCACCCACGTCCACCCCAGCCACGTCTGCCTGTTCCTCACACACCTCCACCCCAGCCAGGTCTGCCTGTTCCTCACACACTTCCCACAGCCAGGTCTGCCTGTTCCTCACACACCTCACACAGCCAGGTCTGCCTGTTCCTCACACACCTCACACAGCCAGGTCTGCCTGTTCCTCAAACACCTCCACCCCAGCCAGGTCTGCCTGTTCCTCACACACCTCACATAGCCAGGTCTGCCTGTTCCTCACACACCTCACACAGCCAGGTCTGCCTGTTCCTCACCCACCTCCACCCCAGCCAAGTCTGCCTGTTCCTCACACCCCCCCACCCCAGCCAGGTCTGCCTGTTCCTCACACACCTCACACAGCCAGGTCTGCCTGTTCCTCACCCACCTCCACCCCAGCCAGGTCTGCCTGTTCCTCACCTCCACCCCAGCCTGGTCTGCCTGTTCCTCACACACCTCACACAGCCATGTCTGCCTGTTCCTCACACACCTCCACCCCAGCCTGGTCTGCCTGTTCCTCACACAGCCAGGTCTGCCTGTTCCTCACACACCTCACACAGCCAGGTCTGCCTGTTCCTCACACACCTCCACCCCAGCCTGGTCTGCCTGTTCCTCACACACCTCACACAGCCAGGTCTGCCTGTTCCTCACACACCTCCACCCCAGCCTGGTCTGCCTGTTCCTCACACACTTCACACAACCAGGTCTGCCTGTTCCTCACACACCTCCACCCCAACCTGGTCTGCCTGTTCCTCACACACCTCACACAGCCAGGTCTGCCTGTTCCTCACACACCTCCACCCCAGCCAGGTCTGCCTGTTCCTCACACACCTCCACCCCAGCCAGGTCTGCCTGTTCCTCACACACCTCCACCCACAGCCAGGTCTGCCTGTTCTTCACACACCTCACACAGCCAGGTCTGCCTGTTCCTCACACACCTCACACAGCCAGGTCTGCCTGTTCCTCACCCACCTCCACCCCAGCCAGGTCTGCCTGTTCCTCACACACCTCCACCCCAGCCAGGTCTGCCTGTTCCTCACACACTTCACACAGCCAGGTCTGCCTGTTCCTCACACACCTCACACAGCCAGGTCTGCCTGTTCCTCACACACTTCCACCCCAGCCAGGTCTGCCTGTTCCTAACACACCTCCACCTCAGCCAGGTCTGCCTGTTCCTCACACACCTCCTCCCCAGCCAGGTCTGCCTGTTCTTCACACACCTCACACAGCCAGGTCTGCCTGTTCCTCACACACTTCCACCCACAGCCAGGTCTGCCTGTTCCTCACCCACCTCCACCCCAGCCAGGTCTGCCTGTTCCTCACACACCTCACACAGCCAGGTCTGCCTGTTCCTCACACACCTCACACAGCCAGGTCTGCCTGTTCCTCACACACCTCACACAGCCAGGTCTGCCTGTTCCTCACCCCTACCCCAGCCAGGTCTGCCTGTTCCTCACACCCCCCCCACCCACAGCCAGGTCTGCCTGTTCCTCACACACCTCCACCCCAGCCAGGTCTGCCTGTTCCTCACACACCTCACACAGCCACGTCTGCCTGTTCCTCACACACCTCACACAGCCAGGTCTGCCTTTTCCTCACACAGCCAGGTCTACCTTGTCCTCACACACCTCCATCCCAGCCAGGTCTGCCTGTTCCTAACACACCTCACACTGCCAGGTCTGCCTGTTCCTCACACACCTCCACCCCAGCCAGGTCTGCCTTTTCCTCACACACCTCACACAGCCAGGTCTGCCTGTTCCTTACACACCTCACACAGCCAGGTCTGCCTTTTCCTCACACACCTCACACAGCCAGGTCTGCCTGTTCCTCACACCCCCCCACCCACAGCCAGGTCTGCCTGTTCCTCACACACCTCACACAGCCAGGTCTGCCTGTTCCTCACACGCCTCACACAGCCAGGTCTGCCTGTTCCTCCCACGCCTCACACAGCCAGGTCTGCCTGTTCCTCACACGCCTCACACAGCCAGGTCTGCCTGTTCCTCACACACCTCACACAGCCAGGTCTGCCTGTTCCTCACACCCCCCCACCCACAGCCAGGTCTGCCTGTTCCTCACACACCTCCACCCCAGCCAGGTCTGCCTGTTCCTCACACACCTCACACAGCCAGGTCTGCCTGTTCCTCACACACCTCACACAGCCAGGTCTGCCTGTTCCTCACACACCTCCACCCCAGCCAGGTCTGCCTGTTCCTCACACACCTCACACAGCCAGGTCTGCCTGTTCCTCACACGCCTCACACAGCCAGGTCTGCCTGTTCCTCACACGCCTCACACAGCCAGGTCTGCCTGTTCCTCACACACCTCCACCCCAGCCAGGTCTGCCTGTTCCTCACACACCTCCACCCCAGCCAGGTCTGCCTGTTCCTCACACACTTCACACCGCCAGGTCTGCCTGTTCCTCACACACCTCACACAGCCAGGTCGGCCTATTCCTCACACACCTCCACCCCAGCCAGGTCTGCCTGTTCCTCACACGCCTCCACCCCAGCCAGGTCTGCCTGTTCCTCACACACCTCACACAGCCAGGTCTCCCTGTTCCTCACCCCTACCCCAGCCATATCTGCCTGTTCCTCACACACCTCACCCCAGCCAGGTCGGCCTGTTCCTCACACACCTCACACAGCCAGGTCTGCCTGTTCCTCACACACTTCACACAGCCAGGTCTGCCTGTTCCTCACACACCTCACACAGCCAGGTCTGCCTGTTCCTCACACACCTCCACCCCAGCCAGGTCTGCCTGTTCCTCACACCCCCCCACCCCAGCCAGGTCTGCCTGTTCCTCACACACCTCACACAGCCAGGTCTGCCTGTTCCTCACCCACCTCCACCCCAGCCAGGTCTGCCTGTTCCTCACACACCTCCACCCCAGCCAGGTCTGCCTGTTCCTCACACACTTCACACAGCCAGGTCTGCCTGTTCCTCACACACCTCACACAGCCAGGTCTGCCTGTTCCTCACACGCCTCACACAGCCAGGTCTGCCTGTTCCTAACACGCCTCACACAGCCAGGTCTGCCTGTTCCTCACACACCTCCACCCCAGCCAGGTCTGCCTGTTCCTCACACATCTCCACCCCAGCCAGGTCTGCCTGTTCCTCACACACCTCCACCCCAGCCAGGTCTGCCTGTTCCTCACACACCTCACACAGCCAGGTCTGCCTGTTCCTCACACGCCTCACACAGCCAGGTCTGCCTGTTCCTCACACGCCTCACACAGCCAGGTCTGCCTGTTCCTCACACACCTCCACCCCAGCCAGGTCTGCCTGTTCCTCACACACCTCCACCCCAGCCAGGTCTGCCTGTTCCTCACACACCTCCACCCCAGCCAGGTCTGCCTGTTCCTCACACACCTCACACAGCCAGGTCTGCCAGTACCTCACACACCTCACACAGCCAGGTCTGTCTGTTCCTCACACACCCAGGTCTGCCTGTTCCTCACACACCTCCACCCCAGCCAGGTCTGCCTGTTTCTCACACACCTCCTCCCCAGCCAGGTCTGCCTGTTCCTCACACACTTCCACCCCAGCCAGGTCTGCCTGTTCCTCACACACCTCACACAGCCAGGTCTGCCTGTTCCTCACACACTTCCACCCCAGCCAGGTCTGCCTGTTCCTCACACACCTCCACCCCTGCCAGGTCTGCTTGTTCCTCACACATCTCCACCCCAGCCAGGTCTGCCTGTTCCTCACACACCTCTACCCCAGCCAGGTCTGTCTGTTCCTCACACACCTCCACCCCAGCCAGGTCTGCCTGTTCCTCACACACCTCCACCCACAGACAGGTCTCCCTGTTCCTCACACACCTCCACCCCAGCCAGGTCTGCCTGTTCCTCACACACCTCACACAGCCAGGTCTGCCTGTTCCTCACCCACCTCCACCCCAGCCAGGTCTGCCTGTTCCTCACACACCTCCACCCCAGCCAGGTCTGCCTGTTCCTCACACACTTCACAAAGCCAGGTCTGCCTGTTCCTTACACACTTCACACAGCCAGGTCTGCCTGTTCCTCACACCCCCCCACCCACAGCCAGGTCTGCCTGTTCCTCACACACCTCCACCCACAGCCAGGTCTGCCTGTTCCTCACACACTTCCACCCCAGCCAGGTCTGCCTGTTCCTCACACACCTCCACCCCAGCCAGGTCTGCCTGTTCCTCACACACCTCCACCCCAGCCAGGTCTGCCTGTTCCTCACACACCTCACACAGCCAGGTCTGCCTGTTCCTCACACACCTCCACCCCAGCCAGGTCTGCCTGTTCCTCACACGCCTCACACAGCCAGGTCTGCCTGTTCCTCACACACCTCCACCCCAGCCAGGTCTGCCTGTTCCTGAAACGAGGGGCCGACCTGCATACGGTGGACCAAGAGCAGCAGGACCCTCTAAGCATTGCGGTGCAGGCGGCCAATGCAGACATCGTCACACTGTGAGTGCCGGGGGGACCCTGTGGGCTGGGGCCCCTGGGGCTGGGTCACCTCACTCCGTGCCTCCCCAGGCTCCGCCTTGCTCGGATGGCAGAGGAGATGCGGGAGGCAGAGGCGTCCCCGGGCCAGCCAGGCGCCCTTTCGGGCAGCAGTCCCACGGAGCTGCAGTACCGCAAGTGTATCCAGGAGTTCATCGGCCTCCACCTGGAGGACAGCTAGGGCCGGGCAGGCTGGGCGGCCACAGGACCCTGCCCTGGCCCACTGCCTGCCCGGCCCAGACCCCCTGCATGCCCCTGAAGACCCCAGCCCTGCCCTGTCACAGCCCTTCCTGTGACAGTGGTGGGCCTCTCCCGACAACCCCAGTGCCCGGGTGCTCCTGGAGCCCTCACTTGCCTGCTCTCCCGTTCCTCTGGCTGCTGGGCCCCTGGGCTGGGAGAGGGACCCCAGCACTGTCTTTTGATTCCATGTTTTTGGGGTGCTGCGTCATCCGGTGCGCCTCGCCTCCTCCGGGGGCCTCTGTCTTCAGACGCCCCTTCTGCAGGGGCCTGGCTCTCTCAGTCAGACCACTCCAGGCCCGGCATCACCTCGTGCCCCTCTGCGCTCAGGGCCTCTGCCACCTCGTGACCTGCTCGCTGGTCCCTCCTCTAATCTGGGGCTGCTGGCCGGCTACCAGCCCCTCCCCAGCAGGAGTGGCAGACACCCAGGGAACCAACCCGAGTACCTCGCTGAGTGACCCCCAGATTCCAAGCTGTGCTTGGAGGGTGCTGGGGGGTGGGCTCCGGCCGGGGCCCTCCACCTGCCTGGACGCGGGCGTCCCAAGGCCGTGCAGCTGGCCACGCAGGTCCCTGTGCCTGACACTTCCAGTCACCCAGAGGTGGCTCTGAAACGGCCCAGAGCCTGTGTGGAAAGCAATGGCCCTTCCACCTTCCACCGACGACCTTCGTCACCGGCTAAGTGGACCTTCTGCAGCCTTGCTCTGCCTGTGGCGGAGGAAGGCCCCGCCTCTGCTCTGCCCTCTCTCTGGTCTCGCCCTTGGGGCGAGCCTCCCCTTGGGTCTCGGGGGTTTCTCACTCCTTTGGGGGAGCCCACCAATGCCTTCAATTCCCCTTCTCTGAAGGAGGGGGGGCAGAGGCCCCTCTGCAATCCTGCAACCACGGGCCCTTGGTCAGGCCGAGGCCAGTTAGTTGATCACTATGCAAACACTGCCCTAGTTCCACGGGCAGCAAAGGGGGCACTGGACCAGGGTCCCTGACTTCCTTGCCTGCTGGCTATAGCCCTAAAGAGCAGAACTAGCTCCGTCCTTCCTGCTTGAGCCTGTCCGCTGACCACCCTGCCCTCCTTAGCAGGGTCCCGCCCCCTCCTGCTCTGCTCACTCATGGGTAAATAAACCTCTGGCACTAGAGCTCACTGCCTACTTATTGGCTCTGTCTGCGGGGACGGTGTCTGGGGCTGCCCCAGTAGAGCTCTGCAGCACCCTTTCTCTGCAGGTGGGAGCGTGCAGGACCTGGACGAGTGGCTAGCACACCCAGACCCCCTTCTGTAACCCTTTACCTTTCTTTGGCCTAGCCTATGTCTCCTAATGGGAGTAAGGGTGGAGCCAACCCGTGTGAATGGTCTAGAGCTGGTGTGATGTCTGGCAACCTGCCTGCTCCCAGTACCCCTCCCCACAGTGCGTTGCTGGGCTCTGTTGCTACCCTGTCAGCTTTGTAGCTCACTCCCACATGGGTGGTTGGTGAAACTCACGCATGCACTAGACAGCAGGTGGAATTACTGGTTTTATTTCGAAGCAGCCCACATGGACCCAGTGCCTTGGCCTACCCCTCTTCCTGCCTGCCCAGAGGCTGTCCTGAAGCCTTAGCTGTGCCTGATCACACATTCCTAAGTGTAGGCACAGCCAGAAATGTCACAGAAATGTGACACCAACCGGTGGCTCACGCCTGTAATGCTAGCTACTCAGGAGGCTGAAATCTGAGGACTTTTCCAGGTAGGAAAGTCAGAAGGATTTATTTTTTGCCAGTCTTGGGGCTTGAACTCAGGGCCTGGGCATGTCCCAGAGCTTCTTTTGCTAGCATTCTATCACTTGAGCCACAGTTCCACTTCCACCTTTTTCTATTTATGTGGTCCTGAGGAATCAAACCCAGGGCTTCATGCGTGCTGGGCAAGCACTCTACCACTAAGTCCCATTCCCAGCCTCCCCCGACCCCCCACCGGTGAGATTCTCAGATTCTTATCTCCAATAAACTACCCAGAAAAAGCCAGAAGTAAAACTGTGGCTCAAATGGTAGAGTGCTAGCTGGTAGTAAAAGAGCTCAGGAACAGCGCCCAGGCCCTGAGTTCAAGAAAAATGATACCAAACAGGCCCCCATCATGAGCTCCTGAGCGAGGCCCTTCTACCACGTGCATTGCAGATGCTCAGCTGTTGACTGGGGACACTCCCCTGCTCCCTGCTGCGGGCCACTTCAACCAGAAAGGCTGCCAGCTGGGTGGGGCTGATGGACAAAGAGAGGCTGTGATGCGTTGGGCAGGCTGGTATCTGCCCACTGGGATAGTGCTGTTCCCTGGTCCTTTGGGGATAGTCTGGCCTTCCCTGGGCAGTCAGGGTCCAGCTGAGGGATCAGAACCCTGTTGGAGCTGGTTCTGGTGTCAGAAGTCTCCAGGCTGGGGCTCACCTCAACCTGACTCTTCTGAGACTGCAGACACATGCCTGTCCTGGAAGAATCCTGGGAGTACCCTTAGGAGTGAGTTCCAGCTGTCCTGTTAGGGCTCTGACATGAAGCCCAGAGCCTGTGGGTGTGGTGTGGGATGGCCCTGAGACACGGCTGGCTCCTGCCTGGGATGCCTTTGCCTGGAAGGAGCAGTGGCGGCCTGGCCGCAGGGCAGCTCCAGGACGGGGAGGCTTGATGAATCCAGCTGTAGCTCCAGAACCTGCCCCTGGAGTGAGCCACTGGGCAGCTGCAGCTGGGCCGCAGTGAGTGGCTGGTCCTGCTTGGACTGTGGTGAGATTGGCGGGGTGGCCGGCTTTTGCTCTGTCTATCCTAGCCGGGCCATGGGTCCCCGCCAGCATCTCACACCATGCAAGTCCGGGCCTCATCCACCGTGGTAGTAGAGCTCAAGATGTTTATCTTGGCATGCTGCTCCGCGGTGGGTGAAGAGGTGTGGGTGCTGGAGAGGGAGGGAAACTACCTCTGGAGGGGCAGGCACACCCACCTGCAGCTCTGAGGACCGGCACACCCACCTGCAGCTCTGAGCACGGGCACACCCACCTGCAGCTCTGAACACGGGCACACCCACCTGCAGCTCTGAACACGGGCACACCCACCTGCAGCTCTGAACACGGGCACACCCACCTGCAGCTCTGAACACGGGCACACCCACCTGGGCTCTGAGGACAGGCACACTCACCTGGGCTCTAAGGGCGGGTACACCCACCTAGGCTCTGGCCATTTGAACCACATATTCTGCTGGTGGGTGAAAAGGAGCAGCCACCACCCCTGCCCACCGGCCTGGAAGTCCACACTGTCACAGTGGCCACAAGACCAAGTCCTGGTGGTTCTGAAGGCAGTGGAGTCCTCGGTGGTGGGCAGCAGGTCCCCTGGTGGTGGGCAGCAGGTCCCCTGGTGGTGGGCAGCAGGTCCTCTGGTGGTGGGCAGCAGGTCCCCTGGTGGTGGGCAGCAGGTCTCCTGGTGGTGGGCAGCAGGTCCCCTGGTGGTGGGCATCAGTCTCTCCCTGGTAGTGGGCAGCAGTCTCTCCCTGGTGGTGGGCAGCAGGTCCCTGGTGGTGGGCAGCAGGTCCCAGGCCAGGATGTCCCTGTAGTGGGCAGCAGGTCCCCTGGTGGTGAGCAGCAGGTCCCCTGGTGGTGGGCAGCAGTCTCTCCCTGGTGGTGGGCAGCAGGTCCCCTGGTAGTGGGCAGCAGGTCCCCTGGTGGTGGGCAGCAGTCTCTCCCTGGTGGTGGGCAGCAGGTCCCCTGGTAGTGGGCAGCAGGTCCCCTGGTGGTGGGCAGCAGGTCCCCTGGTGGTGGGCAGCAGGTCCCCTGGTGGTGGGCAGCAGTCTCTCCCTGGTGGTGGGCAGCAGGTCCCTGGTGGTGGGCAGCAGTCTCTCCCTGGTGGTGGGCAGCAGGTCCCCTGGTGGTGGGCAGCAGGTCCCCTGGTGGTGGGCAGCAGGTCCCCTGGTGGTGGGCAGCAGTCTCTCCCTGGTGGTGGGCAGCAGGTCCCCTGGTAGTGGGCAGCAGGTCCCCTGGTGGTGGGCAGCAGGTCCCCTGGTGGTGGGCAGCAGGTCCCCTGGTGGTGGGCAGCAGGTCCCCTGGTGGTGGGCAGCAGTCTCTCCCTGGTGGTGGGCAGCAGGTCCCTGGTGGTGGGCAGCAGTCTCTCCCTGGTGGTGGGCAGCAGGTCCCCTGGTAGTGGGCAGCAGGTCCCCTGGTAGTGGGCAGCAGGTCCTCCCTGGTGGTGGGCAGCAGGTCCCCTGGTGGTGGGCAGCAGTCTCTCCCTCGTAGTGGGCAGCAGTCTCTCCCTGGTGGTGGACAGCAGTTCCCTGGTGGTGGGCAGCAGGTCCCAGGCCAGGATGTCCCTGTAGTGGGCAGCGGTCACCTCTGGGAACAGGCTGGCAGGAGCAGTGAGCACTGGGGTAGTTATTTGGGCTGCGGCCCGGCCTGTGCCCACTCCAGGTAGGCTGTCTTGGGGCAGCAGCACACCGGGACCCCTCCCTCCACAAGGCCAAACACCACCTGATCTGCAGCCTGCTTTTTGTTGGCCACCCAGGCACCGTCACCTCCTGAGGACAGATCCGGTGGTCCGGCCGGGAGGGGCCGGCCAGGAGGGGCCGGCCGGGAGGGGCCTGAGGCTGGGGACGTTGGCAAAGGTGTTGAACTCGGAGGGGACAGATACGCGTCCTGGGCAGACGCATTCAACTCCTCCGGGTGGTGGAGAGGCTTCAGCTGGGGGACAGGGCGAGACCACAGGACTCTCGAGAGAATCTCTGTCTTGAGGTCCCCACCATGAGTCATGGGGTACCCCAGGGAGAGCTTTGCCCCCTAGGGGCTTATGTGATGCTTCAGCAGCGCGGCTTTGCTGTCCCTGTGGACATGTCCCCATGGGACAGCGGCCTCCTCAGGACATGAGACAGGAGCCCGGCCCTGGGCACGTGCCGGGCTTGCAGAGTGGAGACCAGCTCCCAGCATGGCCAGCCTCTCACCTCCACTGCTCAGAGCCCCTCCCTGTCTGGGTCGGAAGCCTTCCACCTGGACGCCTGTCCTTCCTCCCGGCAGACGCTACAATTGCAGCCCAGCTCAGAGAAGCTCCTTCTCCATTACTAGAAAAGTCCTCCCCGGGCTGGGAAGGTGACTCAGTGGTAGTGCTTGCCTTGCATGCCTGAGGCCCTGGGTTCGATTCCTCAGCACCACATAAGCAAAAAGTAAAAAGCCAGAAGTGGCGTTGTGGCTCAAGTGGTAGAGCGCTAGCCTTGAGCTGAAGAGCTGAGGTACAGCGCCCAGGCCCAGAGTTCAGGCCCCACGACCGGACCCCGCCCCCAAAAAAAAGAGAAGTCCTCCCCTCCTTCACCCTGGGCTCCCAGTAGTGCCTGGGAACCCTTCGGGGCAGGTGCAGCCATTCATTAATGACCAGGCTTGGTGAGCAGGGGGGTCATCTGAGACCCTGTCAGGGACAGCATGCGGGAGCCTCACCCCAGGAGACGCCTGCAGGCCTCCCAATGGGGTTCAAGTCACAGGGGACTGATGGGAAGCGCTGTGCTGGGAGCGCAGACCCCACTGTGATGGCAGCCAGTAGAGCAGGCTGAGGGCCCTGGGAGCCGCAGCCCAGACATCCTGTCCCGCGGTCGCGGGCCGGCCCAGGCGGAGCAGGTGAGGATGGCGGCATTGATGCAGAGGGAGGCAGGCCGCTCCAGCAGCCTCTCTGCCCTCCTGGGGGCACCACAGGTGGTGCGGGCCTGGCCCAGCTTCTGTGCAGGTTGCTTGGTCTGCGGCTCCAGCCTGCGTCCAAACGGAGCCTCAGCACCCACCTCTGCCTCCACACACACCTCTGCCTCCTGAGCTGTTTCTTGCCCGGCCTAACCTACAGCTCTCAGCCGGGTGGACCCGCCCAGGAATGGATTCCAGTCGCTGTTCCTGGATGCCTGCTCTGACACCAGCAAGCTACCAAGGCTGCCTGTACTCAAGACACATCTGTCTTTCTGTTGTTGTTGTCGGTCATGGGGCTTGAACTCTAGGTCTGGGCACAGTCCCTCAGCTCTTCAGCTCAAGGCGAGCGCTCTACCTCTTGAGCCACAGTGCCGCTTCCAGTTTTCTGAGTGGTTTATTGGAGATGAGAGTCTCACAGACTTTCCTGCCCAGGCTGGCTTTGAACCGTGATCCTTGTATCTCAGCCTCCTGAGTAGCTAGGATGACAGGCGTGAGCCAC